TTCCAAACAGACCGACTAGTTAACGAGTGGTTTTCTCTACACTAACGGTGTAAAATTGGTACCCTAAGAATATCATTTACAAATGAAACTAAATTTCCCTTAGAAGACGAGGAAAAAAGTAAAAACCACTGGAATGGTTGGTGTTTTCTTCTAGTAATTCAACCGTGGCATAACACGAAAGAAAACTCGAAGAAACACAAGCAGTTCCTGTGTTTGGAAGCCAACGGTTTAAGATCCAAACAGCAGCAATTCCCTCCGAGCAACCTGTGAGTTCTACCACATGATTCGCGGTTCCTAGGCGTACGTTCACCGCACATATGGAATCTAGCAATTGCCGTATTAAGGAACTTCACTGCCCATCCTAGTAAGGGACTGTGTAGTGCATCACGTTTATAATACGCTGACAACAGTAGCTCTTTGTGCCTAGAGCCTCAGACAACCGGCCAGCTCATGTCCTGAAACGTGGTATTACAATACAGTGCAATATAATTATACTATCTAAGTTTTTCCCCGATACACCACCAAATTTATAGTTTAAGTTACATTCCTGGCCCCAGTGATGTCCTACAAGGAGTTTCTCCCTTTAAAAGTCCAGGCACTTGAACAACAGTGTGGCTCAGACCTCATACTCCCTCCCCACCTTTTTTTAAGTAAAAAAAAAAAAAAGATACAGCACAGAATTGCAAGATCCCATATAAGCCAGTTGTTTCTGAACTGAACCCAAAGAAAATTGTTCTTTCACGATGCATTCATTATAGGTACATAACCGATTACCATATTAAGAAAGAAAAATTCACAAAGTAAGAAACTGTGTTCCTTTGCTTTATTATGAAGTACCGATACCTTGCATACAACATGCAATTTATTGCTTATTGACATTATTGCATATATCAAAGGGGAAAAATAAAATCAGCCAATATCATTTTATGCAAGCTCCTAAACTGTTCGAACAAAATACAGAAATGCTTTACAGTATCACTGAAAGGCAAACAAATAATTCAGATTTTTTTTTAATAATAAAAAGTAAATTTAAACCCATAATTCTTAATCACTCGCCTTACTACTACTGATTACTTTTATCACCGATCTGCAGAATTGTTATATTGCATTTTTAAGTTCTTGTGCCGCGATAAGGATTGCTGCTACCATCAGGCCACATTACTATTTGAATCTAATAATGCGATCCTGACATTTTGTGACAGCATTAGTATTTACTGCAAACCAGATTGTCAAGATTTACCAGAAATCAGTCTAGCAGAGTTTACAATTTTCATCCTTGCTCTGCACATAAGTTAGATATATTTATCAAGTTTCTTTTTAGACAGAAGATTATATAAACATTTTTGAATTACAGGCCCCGTTACTTATGCCTAACTTGTAACTCGTTTGTTCCCAACAGTTTTTGTAATTTGGTTTTATATCAGGTTAGCTGTGCTTACGTGTTAAATTGTTCTACGTATATAGGCATCTGTAGATATTAAAGAAAACACTGTTTGGTATACGCATGCTAGAAACAAATCCAGGATATTTGGATGTGTGCATATTAAGTGTGCAAATTATATAGCCGAGCTCATGATTAGCCCTTTTCCTCCTCCCCCCCTATCATATGATGGATTTCTCTTGTGCAACTGGAATAGGGTTACAATAAACAAAACCCATGTATCCCGCATTGCATTCCAAATGTTATGTTCTGCATTACAGCTTAGTATTAATATTTAAATGTTGCTTTCAAACCTAGCGAATTTTTAAAAATACCGAAATTTAAAAACTTAGAAGACGATTTACATGCAACATGTTCCACTTGGGTGCAGATTCTCATATACTTAAGTATTTATAGGCTCATAAAAGCATGTCCTGTCCACAAGACAAGTACAACGTTTGACATCCCACGCATAGGTTAAAAATAAAGATACACTACAGAATATTTTATTTGCTTTTGTATTTTCCATTTCAATAAGTAGGGAGTTATAAATAGCACACTGAATCATTATATGGTTGATACCAAGCCATGCTGAACTCTTCATAATTCACTCTCTTGAAGACATTTCCTTTACATTACAACTAGATTAAAAATTTATATACATCGTTATAATCAGATGCCCTCTCAGTGCGGGACATCACACAATGAAACTGATCTCAGAAGAAATTTTGCCAAAATATTTCTTATACCAAACACGACAATTTATTCTTCACAGCTACCTTCCATTCTTCACTGAGCTATAAAGTGCTTGGTTATTATAAATAGAGCAAGAATGTCAAAGGAGGTAGCTAGTAGAGATTTCTAATGGATGAGAAACCTTACCAAGTGTTACCACCTAAAAGTACAACTCGATGCTTAATCCCAGATCTCTAAAGATCCCAAGCAGCTCATCTTTCATCTTCCCTACCATAAAAAGAACTTTGAAGTTGCTTTCAGAAAATCCTAAGACCTTCACCTGTCCAACGAAGAGATTTTACCTGGGTTTGGATGAATGTTAAAGTTCATAAATCTTGAACGCTATTTCCATTTGACTGCTGTCAGGATCTCAGCAATGAAGTACTGTTCTTTTTCCAGCTGCCGGATATATCCCATAGATAGAGGCACTCCACCAGGAACAAATCCTTCCTCGTGAAGTCCCTCGTAGCCAGATAATGATGTTGTACAGTAGGCTATTAAAAACATGAAAGAGGGCTGCCCATACTTTTCAAAGTCTTCTACACTTGCATTTTTTTCATCTGAAAATTCTAGTCCCTTTCCCTTTGCTTTATTGATGGCTTTCACCAGCAGCCAACACTGCACCAGATCCTAAGCTGGGGTAGTTGTGAAGCAGCCCTTAATTTTCCTCTGAATGGCTCAGCAGAAGCATCACAAAACAATTTTACAAACTTCTCTATTAAATGATCTTTTACGGAAAGCTTGTATGCACTTATACACAAGTCCATGAGAAAAAGTCCTCTTCGTACAGCAATCAACAACCGATAACCCATTTTATACAGCTTGAAAATTTTAAAGAATAAACTTTCACTTTCCACTGTGAACAGAGATAGAGAAATACCTAAACCTTTCTGCTACGTATCACTCTGCTGTAGTCCCAACCACAGCAGTAGGAAGACATCTGGATCTCTATACTTGTGTTCTCAAAGTCTCCTCCACCTCTCCTCTTTAAACCTGCTTGAACACATTTGCTCACTTGTGTAAGCTTTTACTCTTAGGATAACATTAGTTCTGCACTATGAGTAATCTTCTCCCATAATTTTCTAAGTCAAGATGGAAGTAATTCTCTTCCTAATTAATTTTTAATAAATTTTAATACAACTTTGGAATTGTTAAAAATGTATATATAAAGTCAGCTCCCCTCATTTTCCTGTGCATAGGATTTTTTTCATTATTCAATAGATTTTATTTTTTAAGCAATTAAGTTATTAAATTATTGAGCTCACTCAAGATAGCATGTATTTATAGAGGTAGAGTAGGCTTCAGAGATGTAATTCTTACCACTGGAGAACGCGCACAGATAACCCATAAAGCATCTCTGTAGTGTAAGGCTCTCGACTGCGTTGAAATCCACGGGAACGCTCACCAAGAAAATGAGCATCTGAAGTACATTTCCTCTCTGCGAGTACTGTATCCACAAACCAATTATAAAAGCAAAACTTGACCTACCATTCCCCTGTAGTAGTTCTGAAAGTGGTATTTACTCATCTTTTGATGAAAAAGTAAAGCCATAAAAAAGGGAAACTTGCATTCCTACATACAGCCTTACCGGTACAAATAGACTCTCCCATGATCATCGTGCTGATTTTATGTTACCTGGTACTGAAGAATGTAAAAGAACAGAAAACCAAGATATCTGAGCATTTTTTCCAAGATTAACTCCTTCCATTTGATATGTCCATGGCAAAGACACCCGGTGACATACCAGGGGTCTGCTTTTACACTAGACAATGCATCTACTAAAAATAGAAGTTTTAAGCCACTAATAAGATAATATTACATTCTAAAGGTAGCATTTATTGCGATGCTACTTATCATGCATTTACTTTTTTGCATAAAAAAGCAAAGACACAAGCTTGCAACATTAAATTTCATCAATATTTCACCACAGTTTTTAAATTAATAAAGTGCAATTGAAAAATGGGTGCCGCAGCTATCTAATTTGCTGTATTATAAGCTTTTAATGGCAGGTAAAAAGTGCCCTATACTAATGTATTCCGTACATCACAACTTTGCAGGCTGTTTGCTACAGTCCTTGCCAAATACACAAGTGTTAATAATTTTTTTCATTAGAAAGTTGTCTTCTGCCACACAGTAGATGCATCAGGACACAACTGTAACACATTAACAAATTAGAAAATTGAAACCTAATGCACTGAAAAATATTGTTTTAATTACACTAATTTTGTACAGCAATTCAAAATATTACGTGTTTTAAAATAATTATCCCACTGCCCTTCCATTCTGGATTGTTGCCCAATGTGTATTATGCGGGGGGGGGCGTGTCATCTAGTTTTAACTTGATTTTATTATAGCTTGACTTTTTTTTTTTCCCCTCCATCAGACACAAGTCTATCTAGAAGTCTAGAAGTAAAGGAAACGGACCATTTTAATTGTTCTCCATTGAAAAGAAAAAAATTAAATACTGACATATTAAAGATTAATGCTAAGAAGGGATGAATTTCAAAAAGTTTTCATGAGTTACCACCTTGAGTTGCACCAAATCATGTTCCTTATCAGTTTTTTTATCCTGCTTCCCAAATAACAAAAGCAGACTTCTACTTTCAAACATATTCTCCAAAATGTTTGAATTTACAAATTTGAAATTTGTTTTAGAAAGGAACAAGCTATTACAAAATGACTCCCTGATCTAGTGACTTAAAAAGCACAAGAAAAAAGTATTCCATTTACACCTTTAAATCATAAAGGTGATACAAACACGGAGCCTTTGTACATAGCCTGGATTTTGCATTAGATACACCGAAACCACTATTTTAAAATAGCGGTAAAATAGTGGGAACAGCTTCTGCAAATTAGTATAAAAGGGAGTCTGTTTCTTTCAGCAAAGCAGGTCACAGGATCAACTCACAAAGACTACGGATTTACTGGTACCCAAATAAGGTACCGCACTCACTCAAATCATACAGCTAAACAGATTAATTGCTATCTTTGCCAAGGCATAAACAGATCTTTCGTCTGCAGGCCTGTGAATTATTAAAAAGCACGGAATCTAAAAAAAAAAAAAACATCTCAGAAGTATTAACAATCCTTGATACCTCCCTTAACAAGGCAGGGTTGGGAAACCGGTTTGGAAAAATGCCTGCCCAGTTCAACAGCGGAACGAGGCTTACAAAAGTGCGTATTCCGCTAGCCCAAACAGCGGTCCCCGACATCATTTTAACTGGGGAGCTAAAGTCACCGCAGCCACCCTTGGGTTGTACGGCGCTTCAGCCTACGCAGCCCCCTCGGGGTCTCACAGACATGCAATTCCTGGAAGACGGGAACGCTGCGTCCCTCACCCGAGAGCACAGCATCGGGGCACCCACGCCCCCGACTACAGAGGGGAGAGTTCACGTCACCCAGCTTCGTTAGAGGGAACAGGACAAGAGGAAAACTAATTATCCTACACGGGGTAAATATTTTATCTTTTTGTTTAAAATAAATGGCTTAAACAGTCTGCTACAATAATTGGGACGTGCACTGAAGTACTGAGTGAAAATGGCTACTTTTAGCACACCTTGCCAGAAGGTATAACAAATAACAAGTAATGTCAAAAAAACAAACAAACAAACAAACGACAAAATTTAATCAGTCCCAATTCAGATATGGTTTAAAGTAAGCAAAACAAAACCAAACTACACAAAATACAGCTCTCAAAATCATTGAAAAATAAAACAAAACCCAGAATTTCCTCAAACTGTATTATAAATTAGGTTCTAGACTATTCCTAGATGGTAAGATTCCTCTCTGATGGCCTCCAAACCTTTAAGTTTGGAGAAGGAACAGAGTACCTATAGACAAATACCTGGTTTAAAAAAAAATAAAAAATGTTGTGCCCACAGAAGTGAACTGTCGTTCTACAGAATTACCGTACAGCTTTACAGAAGTTTGGCACAGTTAATTCAAGAACGTTTTTAGTCAACAACTCAGATTTCTGATGTGATTAAGAAGGAAAATGTGACAAAAAAGCTCAACACTTCATATCAAATGGGTCATTTCTGTGATAAAAGAAAAAAAAAGTATCACTGTAAGTTACACAGCACATATACAGAAGAATTGTCTCTCTTTACAATTAAACTTCGCATCCAAATAGCCAATGGTTAAAAAAACTCTGAGTTGCAGCACTTCTCAAAGGTAGTAGCAGCAAAGGAAAAAGCACTCCAGTAAGAATTATGCTGTTTCCACACACTTATGAAAAAAATTCCACAGGCAATTTAGATGATGTACTATTGCATGTAATCTAACACAGCAAAAGTGAATCCTTCCCATCAAAATCAGAGAATTTAACAATTTTTAAGATATTCTGTAGTCTTATAATACAGCATTTTAGATAAAATTATTTCATAAATTTCCCAAAATGGTTTGCATTCATATAAGGCAGAACAAAAAGCAGTAAAAGACTTCACAGAATCAAAGCTAATTTTTTAGCTTTTCTTGCAAAAATTAAAAAGTTGTCAAGAATGAAATCTTGATTGCTATTCCTAGAAGAAAACATAGAAACGTGCCAGGAAAATTGCACCATATCAGGAGTTTGGGGAGGTTTTTTGTTTTCTAAAAAAAGAGAGATGTCAGTATTCACTGGATTTATAAAACATTAATCTGAGAAACCTGAGTGAAACACTTCAAACACACTGGTGGACAACAAGCAAGTAACCAGTCTGCTCCTTTCTAATTTCAGTAGCTTGTAACTGCTCAGAGCAGACACGTGGAACTCATTTGTATGAGCTTTTGCTTTTATTCCTCACCGGACAGGATCCGTAAAGCGTGGCCCTGGGTGTGCAGGCAGTGTGGCTAGGGGAAGAGTAAGGTCAGTACAGAGGTAATACCTTGTTTCCTTAAGAGGAGCATTCCATGGCAGAAATGTGCACTGCTTCAGTGAACCCAAATTATTTTCATAGCAGAAATTTCATTTTACGCATGTGATTTCTAGGCAGATTTTCCGTTTCTATGAGTTTTGGCTTCCTCCTGTCCGACAAGACAAATGACTTTGTAGCATCCTTTTGCAATTTTGACCATCCACATCACGTTCATAACATCCAAGACAACACTTGAGATAATCCAGGCACTCTGGGCTGCAAATCCTAATCTCTGGAAAGCCTCTGTTCCAAACGAAGAAATTACATGGCTGTAATATATAGGCATGACGGCAATCCTCACCACGAAGAACACAACTGTCATCAGCACACCATTGATGATGTTGGCCTTTGAAGATTTGGGATATCCTAGTACTTCAAAAAACCACCTGCAAAAGAAGCGTTCACAGATACCAGGCAAACTTGAAGCCATCTCATTAAAAAAGGATTTTATGTCACTTTTTTTTTTAATTAATCAATCATTTACTTTATTAATTGCTTCTACTCTTCTCATTTCTAAATTATTGCACTGTGTCTTGGCTTAGCTGCAAGTTCTTCTGCTTGGCTGCATTTTTTTTCCCCACTTAAGCAGTCTGTGACATCCAGTACCTTGCAGAATAACATGCAGAAAATCCTGATTTGAACTGTAAACCAGTTGACAACCAGTGTGCACTTCAGTGATTATTGTGTAATACACTGTAATTCAAATTCTCTTTTAAAATGATAACTACAAATTTATTACTTGTTACTATAGTTTGCACCAATGAGCAACTAAAATTCTATTTTTTCCCTGGAAGCAATTCTAGCATTGCATTTGGATATGGTAATCTAGATAGAGCTCTCATTTCCAGTTTCTCAGATTTGGGATTTTCTGACTGCTTCTGTTCAGCCCTAAACCAGAACTTCAGAACCAGACATTGTAAATGGCACTGGATCATGTCGCAGCTAGGTATGTTATGCAATGAAAAAGATAAAACTAAAACCCCCCCTCTCCCACTACTACTACTATGGGGTCACATAAGTGGTCTTTAAAAAAAAAAAATTCTTGCATATTAATTCCTTAGTTGACAGGCATAACTTATCTAGTGCCTAGCACACAGAACCTGCGGGTTGAATTCCTAGAAAAAGGAACAACAAACTCCTCTAATTCTTTATCATTCACACTTAACCCAGAATAAATGCAAGGAAATTTTGTGCAACGATGGCGGGATAAAGACAGGACTGGAGGAAAATTACTTAAATCACTGTATTCATGATGGGGGACGGGGAGGGAAGTGGAATAATCAGTTTCTTTTCAAGAAGATATGAGGGAAAAACTATTTAACAAAATAACAGTTCTGAAACTGGTTTTAAAAGTAATTTTTAACTTAATTACCTACAGATTACTACCTAGGTAATTACAGATATACTAAAAAGATTTGCCAGACAGCCAGCTCTAACAGAAATACTCCAGGAATTCATTAAGAGTGCAACTGAGACAATTAAAATCCAGGCACCCCAGGTGGCAGTCCAGCCTGGCAGTAGGGTACCTCACCACAGAAACGCTTACTGGGATGATGAAGAGGGAGACCTGATACATTTGGTCAGACTAACAATCAGAGCCCATACTTTCATTGACATGTACGATGCAGGGTCCAAAAGTAATATAAAAAAAAGGTTTTAAAATATACTGCGACGTGCCAATATAGGTAACTGTTAGAAAAAAGGGTAACTGGACGTCTGCTTAGCAACTTCCCTCTCCCAGCAAATTCAAAAAAATAGAAGTCAGTAAATCATAGTTATCGTTACAATTTTACCCACCACAGTTCATAATTAATTACCTAAATGCTGATACTAACATTAAAAGATCTAAATGCTTGGCATGCAGATGACCTCCAATTAGATATCCCTAACAACACAGACAGGAAATACAGAGAAAATACTGCAATTCTGAGATTAGAATATCACTTTATATTTTAATAATAGCTCTTTTGGTAATACTAGGAATGCAAACAAGAAACATAATGTAAGTCATTATCATTATCCACTATTTACTGTCTTAAAGGCCTGGTTCTCTTCAAATTTAATGAAGAAAAAACCCAAAACATTCATGCACTAATGAGATGACATTCCTTAGTGCAAGGGACTTTACTATCTCCTACAGAGATTTCAGTTTTTTTCTGAGGAAGCAGTAAATGTGGGTATTCAAAGACACGTGATCTCACCATAGGCATTTTAAAAGTGTAACGTATATTACTTCTAGTAGCCAGATGTATCGCAATACTTCCTAACGCCAGTCTGAAAGGTAAACATCTGTATAGGTACTACTTAAACCCAGGATGAATTCCTATCTTGGTAGAAGTCAGTTGGGAGAACGGCCATTCACTAGGACATGACTTTCAATATAGCAACCTAGAATATAATACCACGGTTTTTCATTTTCTTACTCTCCTCTTCTTTGTATTACTAAAGTAAGTTTAAAGAAGTGTTTATGTACTCAGTTTCTCTGCGTGCATGGAGCACAGGCTACGTTAGACTATAATCTCCTACTCAACTGCGCTTGGGCAAATGAAAGCAACCTCCGGAGAGCTCCGTTATCCCACCCTGCCCTCCTGTAAGTTGAATTTGCCAAGCTGATGTTCAAAAGGGATCTCAGCACAATCTTTTTTATTCTTAGAGATCTGAGGAATGCTACAGTCTCATAAAATATTTCAGGGTTTACAGTCACAATGCAGTAATGGGTAATACTCAGATACCCTGTTTGCAGGAGGAT